AGCTCTTCGTCTTGCACCAGACAAATTAGCTATTGCGCAGTAGGAATTCCAAAGAATGGGGTTGGTTACCGTTTGTCTTTCAACGAGCTTCTGGTTTTCTGAACTACATCTGATGTTCAAAAAATCCAGTAACTGGCGACCTTGTGGACATTATCATGGACTTAACGCTCGTATAATGCCAGACTGATATTCAGTCCGGATACTTGTAGATTGCACCATTAACCTCGTGGGCAGAAGACTATTCTCGACTATCGTCTATGAGTTTGATTAAATTCCCGTGCCATAGGAAGAGGTTTCCAAAACAGCAATTATAAGATTGTTTGATTGGTACCAAAAGAATAGTCTGATCGACTGTCAAGTCAGACTATTCCTTTGGTGCCAAGTTTGAAGCGAACGTCAACTTTCCACGATCTGAAAAGATCAAGAAGTTACGGAAATTTCTCGGAATGATGAATTTTTATTGCTAATCGTCGCATCAGCACATGCTCTGCTTCATCAATGCTGCTACGTTAAGATCTCAACGGGTCCCCTCCAGTTCCATAGAGCACAGAGAGAGAAGCCGCTTTCGACACTCTCGAGAAACAATTACAAGACTTAATGATGCTGGTCCAGTCGGAATTGTCATTGGTGTGGGCCATAGTTATCCAAGTGTTCGAATTTGCCGGTGGCGCAGTTCTTCAATAGCGCAGAGGTACCGCTTGGAAGCTACTTGTCGTCTTCAATCCAGCCTTCTCTGAGGAGACGCATCCAACGACAAAGAGCGCTACGCAGTCTATGCAGTAGTCTATTATTTCAGGCGCAATTTCGCAAATCATGTGACGATCTACGACAAACCGCTATTACACGCTTTCAATGCAGACCCAAACGAGGGTCGATTGATTGTATCGGTCAGTTTTCAATTGATATTCAGTGTATCGCTGGTGACGATAATCTCGTTGCCGATGCCTTATTGCCAATTGAAATAATTTAATTAGCAGTCTCGGCAGCAGAGTTCGACGAGGTACAAGCAGAAGACGCAGACCTTCAAAAACTTTGACGTTAATAGCGTCCTCAGCCTGGACCTATCGATATGCCGGAGAGATCAACTCCAACTTAATGCAACGTCAATGATAAGCTCGTTCGTCCCTATGTACTGTTACCGCTACGCAGGAAAATTTCCGAAGCTCTCCATAGTCAGCCTCTAATGCATCGATCAAGCTAGTCTCTTAACGTTTCATCAAGCCGAGTTTGAAGAAACATTGCCTTTTGGGCTCGCTCATGTATCATATGCCAGAAGAGTAACATATCATGTCAGATAACAGACATCATTGGACCATATGCACCGTCCAGAGGATACTATCAATCTCTCATAACAATCGACAGATCTCCACTTCCCGCCAAAAGAATGTGGGATCGACTCCAAAATTCATCACCCATACAAAATGGGAATATAAGTATAGACAATCAGTAAACAACAATCAAGTAACAGAAAATTGTACGAACCTGTAGGAGAAATCCAGGAAATACATCGCACAAATGTGGTGGGGAGGGAACTACCGGAGGAGACAAAGGAGTGGCCAGGAGTTATCTGCTGAATACGGGCCTGGCAAGGTTTCTCGCCTCTAAGGGGCCCGGCTTGCCAGAGGCGATAGGGACTGCAGCCCAGGCAAGGATTTGTATAGGAGGAGAAGCGCGGTTAAGTAGGAGGGATGATCCGCGCTCTCACCGGCCCTGGGGATGGATCGCTGAAGGTGGGACGCCTCGTCGCGGGAAGAAATGCACCGCCGCGGGGGTACCTAGAAGAGAAAAGTAACAAGGCGGAAAAGCGCCTGAGGGCAAACTGCGCAGACATTCCTCCGCTCCTGGACGACTCGAGAGGGGTAGAAGATAAAGCGGCGGAAAATGATCAGCACGACAGTGAGAAGCGGAAGAGTCGTCGGCGAGCCGCGGTAGCGTACGGACTCGTACAGGAGCAGACCAGGGGGGCCCCCAAGCCCCCGGAGTCCGCTCTTGCATCCTTTATGCCTTGTTTGGAGTACCCTGCTGGAAAAGGCTGCCCTTAAGGCTGTAGCCCTTGTGCTCTTCTACCCCGAGAGGCATGAAGCTGACCTCAAGAGGCGGGAGTGGACGTTGATCTCGATAGCCCGCATCCTGGCGCAGCCTGCCCGAATAGCATAAAATAGAACCTACTGAAGTGAAGGAATAGAACCTACGGAGGTGAAGGAATAAAGAGCATATTAACAATCAAGCGAACTCAAGTAGATCACCGAATCCCGCCCCCCTTACCAGCGCAGGCAGGTAGCCTTATTCTCGCACCGTATTCCCAGGAGGAGCAGTTAGCGAATCGGGGGGAAAACGCAGTACAGGGATAACTGAGAGCACTAAGGGGTCACTTCGCAGATGGGGCAAATACCAAAAACGCGGTGGTATGGGTTGCCATGGATTATTAATTAGTTAATAATTGTTCAGAGATATTTGTTGGAAGTTGATTTGATATTTTTAAGGTTTGATGTTTAGTTTCGCACATTGCTATTGCGAATTATATTTTTCTTAGACTATTTCGATCTATTTATCATAACGCTCCAATTACAGAATCGTCTGATTGGGGGAAGCATGGCCGCGCGAGTCAGTATATCGACAACAGGCACTTCTCGCCGGGTTTTCCAGGACTACGTTGTAGCTTTTAATTTCTTTCGCGTAACTATTCAATTTGCGTTACATTATTTCTTGAAACTGCACTGAGAAAAAAAATTATTTTTGCCAAGAATATTTTCTTCCTACTAGTAAATCTGGGGATCACTGTGTAAATACTCCCACAAGACTTACTAATGCCAAATATATTTTCTTGTGATTAGTAAATATTCTTGGCTAAAGAAAATTTTTTCCTCAGTGTGGTAGATTTTGACTTGTTCTCCTTACAACTTGAACGGCGGAATTTATTTCAGATTTTGTGACCGCTGCCTCTTTCTCTATGTGGTTGAGACTGGTGAGTGGTGGATTTTTATTATTTTGTTCAATGAGGAGCGAGTTAGAGTTTTGTGTTTATTACGAATGTTGTGTTCCGTGGCGATTGATGGCATAGAATTAATTGATCGAATTTTGGCTGACGCGTGTCCCTTATTAGGTATTTTCTCGCGAGTTCAAAATTTTATTACCTTGAGTAATTGAGAATTTTGATCGGTCTTTTGTTAATTAAATTCAGTGATTCCGTTGAATTCCATATTGGAAGTATTAAGCTGTCGTTTCGTCTACCATTGTGCATATTGTATCGATTTTGGGATGGCTCTGCAGACTGTCTCTCCTGAGGTATTTTTCTCGAAATATTTACCTTATATTTTTCCAATCTGCGATAGCCAAATATTTTAAATTACTGCGGTTATTTTGACTCATTTTAATTCTGACTAGTTATTTAGCTGTCGACTTTCAATAGTATCTTTACATTCATTTGACTTTGACATTTCTATTTTGACTAGTTTTTTATTCTTTGACAAATCGCGGTTAGGGAAATATCATATCGAGCTTAGTCGTTTATTTATTTCGTTTTGTTATTATGATTGTAATTTTATCGAGAATTGGGGGCTGAATTTATTCGAAAATGAGACTAGGTTTTATAGTCTTGTTTTCCAATTCAGTCGATTGTAGTAACGATTTTCATTGAATTATGATCATTTCACCTTGCAATCTGAATTATGATTTGCTTTATAGTTTGAACCTAGTCATCTCAAGATAATTTCGGGAGCAGCATTTTTGGGACCCACCCGCTTCCGTGGTTGATATACTGAGCTATCACTGGTCCTTTTTGTCAGTTTACAAATTGTTTTAGTTTTTTTTGGATATTTTGTAAGGAAACGTTCTGGCGCTCGGGTTTTGGAAATTTTTGTTATGCTGGACATAGAGGGCTGCGTATATTTGTCCTTTTTTCCGCGGAGGGAAATAGTACGTCCCAATATATAAGAAAAAAAATAATAAGTAATAAAGATATCGAAATATCGATTAAATATCGAATTTTCATTAAATTTAATATAAAAGGGTAAACTATAAAAATTGTTTTTAAATTATTTATCTAAAAACAATTCAACAACTTTTGTTTTCACCACGTACCATAAAATACGCGCGCTTCAATACCCAGTATAAGCTTCTAAATAATATCGCATATGTATTCCTTAACAGAAGGACTGGTAAGGCTTGATAGTGCAAAATTTTAAGTTATTCAAAGTAAGATAATTTTTTATATTTTGAGATGTTTGAAGTTCTGGCAATTCTTGTCTTTTGAATAGCCTAATGAATAGCCCTGAACAACACTTGAAGCGAAACCTCGGGTCGCTATGCTGAGCTTCAACTTCGGCTAACTCCTTCGGGTCAAGCTTACGGAGAGTTGGCTCAGATTGAGATTCGGGACGGATGATTTGGAAGAAATTTGACCAACAAGAGAGAATAAACTATAATGTACACGTTGATGTTATGAGATGAGTTCGACACCGAGTGGTTACGTTTTAAAGGGGCATCAGAGGTGGGCCTGACGGTCCTCTTCTGCCTTTATTTATACTCGTCACCAGGGCCAACTGTCCTGGTTTAGTTCTGCCTGTGATCTGTCTCCAAGAGGGTCCTCTAAGGCTCAGCTAAGCACTTTCACGGTTTGATGCACGAATATTGCTTTGGAATTTTCAATGACTATGTCTGCACACCCATACAATAAGCACCCTCTACTCTTTGTTTAACGACAATAGAGGTCGGAAGCACGCTTTGTTCTCAGCATAGAGGTTGCCTAGGTTTGGTCGAAAAAAAAATAAAGTCTCTAATTGCGCAAGCAACAGGAAAAAAATACAAAACGTGCGGTGCTTTGTTCATAACGATAGTTATTATGACGGGAAGCTTAAACATTGCTCTTCAAGAGAATTGAACTTTATTATCTGCTAAAAAGTTCTTTAAAGCTGATCAAGCTTTCACACTAGACACTGGAATGTAAAATAACGTAATCGAATGATAAAGTCTACTGCGAATGGATAGAAATACAATTTTACCTCGATACACGTCTCACACATAATGAAACTACAGCTTTTTCCACCGTGCTTCATCAGGTCTCCGTCTAATTCCTCGAGGCAAATGGTACATGGGCCAATTTCATCCTCTGCGCTTGTTACATTTTGACAGGGATCAGTCTCTCTTGAATAATCGATGCCACTCTCGTTTGTCGATGTGTAAACGTCTGGCAGGGCTGTCAACTCGAACGCGTATATCGATCTACTCATATCTTTAACGTATCTTAATAATAAATTATCATCCTGCAACGGAAGACCCAAATTAAAAAATAATTGTGAAATAAAGGTTAGAATTTTTTAATTGATGAAAAATAAGTCGCGAGAGCGTCAATCGTAGAAAAAATAGAAAAATCATTGTTTTTAATGTTCAATGAAATGTAGCCCCGTAATTAAAACTTTATATTACGAGAGTGTTCTGTCATTAAATGATTGAAAAATTATTTAATATTGGAGAGCAGTATCGACGACAATTGACATTACACAATTTGTCGCCTTCTTGACCCTCCAGAGATCGGATAATTACGTTAACTCTTAATCGCCGAAAATGGTAAATAATAAAAAAGTAGTCAATATTGTATTGCATTATAAGACGGTAGATAATAAAAATGTACAATAAAATTTTTTTATAGGACAAAATTTTCTATGGCCATATTCCTCAGTATATCTACATGAGAAGCTACCGCAGAAAACTGTGAATGACGTAGTAGCTATTCAATAAATTTACGATGGAAAAATAAAGAATATCTTACCAGGATTTTTGATATGTGATTCTCCAATACCTCTGCTAATGCCAGATTACTTGTAGGAATATCGTCTTTTTGAAGAGTATTCAGTAACTCCTCTTTAACTTTCCCAATTTTCGATTGCTTATTCAGAGATACAACACATCGAATCGGAGGCTCATTGGTGACTGGAATATAGGTGATGGTAAGTTGCCTTTCCATCGCATGCGGAAGCGGCACTGAGAGATACATGAAGGGTTCATACGTCACCGATATATGCTTACAGACTGCACAGACCACCTGATAAACATTCATTCAATTGCAAAAGTATAAAAACATTGTATCACTAGACGATGGTTTATAGAAAAAAATCGTAAATGATTCTTGCTTGGAATTCGAAGAAAATTGCTAATAAGCGCCCAAATATTCTTGATGGTTTGATGCGTGAAATATTGCGATTCTCAAATTTCAATGAGACAATTGTTCTGATTTTTTAGTTAATCTAAAATTTAATATGGGTGCCAATACGTGATTTCTGCAATGAGCTGACAAGTATTTTCATATTTGATTTGAAAAATTTAACCGAGCGGCCCATTTCACATATTTTATTGTTGATAATCGAGTATCACTATACTTTATTTACCGTGCTTTTAAACTGCCCTTGGAAGGTATCAACAATGACACTCTTATTCCATTTAAGATGTTTTGCCCAGTGTTCATTAGCCTCAGCCTCATCCTGCGCAGCAACAGCACCATTGTCACAATTTTGCATTGTCCTTAAAAATAAAATGCCACTGGTTCCCAATCCATCTCTCTTGCGATTTTTTTGATGATCTTCAAGTCTCATTCTTTTAACATTGCACTTTTCCGAAGCACTTTCACACTCCGTATCCGACTCCGCGGATAAGCAATCATTGATATTAGTCTTTTGTACATTGACTTCTTTGATCCTCTTGATGCTCAGATTTTTGTTGTCAAAATCATGATTTTCCGTTAAGTTTGAATTATCCAATGCCATGCGACGAAGATTATCCTTGGGAAATTTTTGGGAATCGTAATGAATCTCATTATTGCACTCCTGGGGAGTCACCAGGAAATTTGCATTACTTGTTTTTGCATCCTTTACGATGTCAATGAATTTAGTATAGTGATTTGATTTTTTCGACAATTCCATGAGCCCGACAAATTCATACATGGAATGTTCTTCATTGTGTGTTTTATTGTAAATGAAACTCAATTTCGAGTCTAATAATTCCTCCGAGTCAAGGGTCTCTTCGTCGTCGTGCAAAAGAGATCCGGAAGGGGAGTTTGCCACACTGTCCAAATCATCCATGGGAGAATCTAAATCTGGATAAATAATCAAAAGGTGAAATTATTATTTTGTTTACTTTTTAGGAAGCGATGAAAGTAAGGAAATAACTGGACGGTAGAGGTAAAATATTTCAATCATTTAATTTTAAATGAAGGAATAAGGGAATGAAGCAAGAGATATTAGACGATTTTTGCTGTATGAAATAGTCTCGCAGTATAACTCTTGCTATCATAAAAGGCTTTGAATATTAAAATTACCATTTTATTAATTTCATAATTTTCATTATGGTATGTTTATTACAACCAATTAATAATTTGATTTTCAATGACGTTATTCGTTCATAGCTTGCGTCCTTATTGTATAATTCTTTGAGAATCGAAGAATTTCATATTAATAATTATTAAAGCGTTTACCGACGGTAGTGGCCGTGCGGTTAGAGTGCTGGACTAGCATGCCAAGGATCCGGGTTCGATCCCGGGCACCGGCGGTCAAAAATATATAGCGCTCTGATCTCACGGTTTCACTGCCGAGCGGTAGTCCTGTCAAAAGGACGACTGTACCAGGGCAGGTTTTTCCCTTAGATGAGGTTTTCCCTCCCTTTCAGCAAATGCGGTACAGGGGGTTGGGGGGTGGGAAGGGAACAAATCGTAAAAACCCGAAAGGGTATACGAGTGAAAGAAAATTTTTTATTAAAGCGTTTACAAATGTGAATCTATTAATGGATAAAATAATAATAAATAAAAAATGGTAAATATTTTTTTTAGTTTCACTAAACTTTTCTAGATGTTTTATAGTGGTATGTTTTACAATTTCACCAAGCACTCGACAAATTATTTTATTCAATTAGTAACAATTATCAACTGACGGCGCGTGTCTGGTCATGTGGTTAGAGCGCCATTCGATTACAGGTCGAAGAGATGCCAAAATATTTTTTTATAGCCCTAACTTACACGGTTTTATCGTGCAAACGATAGTGTCGAAAGGAACGACACTACCCCAGATAGGAAATTACAAAACAAATCTCCTCAAGTGGAAGAAATAACAACATATTTTCAAGCCTGCAAAATGAACCTTGAAACAGGGTTGATACTTTAGCCAAAAATCACTCTTCATTAATTCAATTTACAATGTTAATTGATAATTATTAATGAATAATTAAAAAAAAAATAATAATTTACACTTCAATCATGATTATTATTATTAATTGTGTCTCACCTACGCAACTTTAATGCAATAATCGCTAAAAAACGGATATTGTTGACTCAAAATGTTACAACTGACTGGGTTCGAACCTAGACCTAACGATCCCTAATCTTACGTCCTCACTACCAATCTACCGCGCAATTCTTCAAACCACTATTTCTGCTCGGCTATGATTTCGTCCCACTAAAGCATTCTTCTATTCAATTCATAGACATACTCAGTGAATAATCAGAATAGAATAGTGGATTAATTTAACAATAAAAAACAATATTGTTACACATCATCAATATTATAACAAATATTCCTGGCCCCGGATACGCTGGTAAAGAGACGAAGGGGAATGCTGAGTGCCAACCAGGTACACGCCCAGGTGGCGAATAGGGGAACGGCCAGGAAAAGAGAAGTGCCAGAGGACCAGGGACGGGTGCCGAAAAGTTTCTGGGCCTGGATCCCTCTAGTCCTTCTCGGAACCTGTTCAACGGTGGTGATAATAGTAAAAAAGGGAGTAACTTCCTGACAGAGCGCTGTACAACGCCGTCGCAGCCCAACTCCCCAATCTAAGGTGAGAGTTATCGTGCCGACGGCTGAATGGCACTACAGAATAGCATCATGAACGATACCTTTGAGGCGCAGGGCGGCACCTCATTGTATTCACGCCTTACTCAGAGGGAACGTCAAAGGGCTGACAGGGATGGAGCCGTAATACACCAAACTCCAACAGGAGCCCAGAAGATCGTAATGACAATGGAAGCCGCAGAGGGGTCAAATGAAGTTACTACGTCGGGAGGGACCGGCGAGGTCCAACCTCTTGAACGGAAGAGGCGCACCGGTGCAGAAGAGCCTAGAGCCCGCAAGGCTTGGATTCAAACTGAGCCGTTGAAGAACCAGCACTTTGAGTAGTGGACGGCGGAGACCTCGAGAAAAGTGGACGGGTAGATCGGTTCAAAGTGAACTTAGGCACTGCCTAACAAAAAACTAAAGATGAGGGAGGGGATCGGTGTTATCTATTTCAGGGAAGTGGCGACGGGTATTAGCCGGGCGGCCATAGCGCCGGCGGTATCCAGAGTCGACTTTGACGGAGGCCGAACTCATCTAGGCGGCGCTGGCGGCAAGGTTCGGGGGTGACCAAAGTGGCTCCCCGGCTTTGAGAACTACAAGTATGATCAGGGAGTGCTGTGGGTCACGTGCACAGATGCTCGTACTAGAAAGACTGGCGCAGGAGCGAGGTGGCTGCAGTCATCTCATGGGAAGGGGCCTCACTTGTCCTTATGGACGCACTCTCCAAACTGTCCACAGTAACGGCTTCTCTAGCAGGAACTCGGATGAGTCCGGCTGTTCCACTGAACAGAATTAAAAGGCAGAACGAGGTCCTCTTCACTGAGAAATGGAGGGTCTGACTACAGGGAGGGCAAAGAACGGACCAACCTCGTAATAAGACTGGATCCCCGGTCCATAGAAAGGCTGAATGAGGCAGGGATGACTCCTTTCTACTGTTTCGGTGGGGCTCGCTTCTACGTGTCCCGGCGAAGAGGAGAGAAAGGACCACCGGCCTAAGAAGAAGGTGGCAACTCATGCGGTAAGTGACCCGAAGGGAAGAAAGGTGGATGGCTGTGGGGACACACGGGATCGTACTCACCAAAGAGCTGCAGGAGCTGGTCAGGTACTGCAGGTTAAATGGTCAGCGTCCAAGGAGCTAGTCTAGTATACGGACGATTCCAGGATGGGTGACCGAGCGGGTGCAGGAGTCTGAGGGAGCTTCTAATACGGGTACAATCAGACTGGACTCCCTCGCAACGATGCTGCAGACAGAACTAGGTCCTGCGAGCCTGTGGAAAGTTAATCCTGGATAGATAGGACAGACGCAAGAATTTGTACATCTGCACAGATAGCAGGGGTGCGCTGAGGGCACTGCTCAGACATGAGAGCTGCTGTCGACTAGTGACTGATTGCGCCGAGATGATAAGAGTTGGAGATCATAATCAGCTAGAAGTGGTATGGATTCCCGGGCAGGCTAGCATCGTCAGTAACGGAAAGGCCACCGAACTAGTTAAAAGGCGATGCTTGAGTATAGCATCAACAGAGGAACACCCTATTGGTATGCCCATAGACTTTATCAAGAACGAAATCCATAAACGAGCGGAGGGGGGCGGAGGATAATTGTGGAGACTTGGTACTCTGAATGGGGTGTCCAGCAAACAAAAACCCAATTACGCGAACGTACCAAGAAGCTAGCCGGCAAACTTGTCGACCTAAACAGGACAAAGCTATCAACGATTTTCCACGAGCTTGTCTAACCAACGCGCAACGTTTTTCTCAACTAATTAACGGAAATTTATTGATCAACACCGTTTGATCAACGTGAAGCTAGAACCACTCAACGTTAACTTAACAATTGTTGTTTTTATTATTATATATATTATATATATTTATTATATTTATTATATATTTTTGTATATTCGAGACAAGTGAGCATTAAACGCGAAGTGTTTTATATCTCGGGTTTATCTCATTTATCTCCACTTTCCGACACACATTTCCCAATTTTCCGCAGAGAAGCAAACTTCTCAAACTGTTGCATAGCTTTTAGTAAACAGTCGACAGATTTGAGGAAGCGGACTATGTCTCAATGCATTATTACCACTTCCATTGTATCTCCCGTTGATAATTGAGCAGGTCACTGAATTATAGGGCACTTTTAGGTAAAAATGTGTGGATGTAATGATGAGCATTGAGGAAATAGAGAAAAATTATTCCATTGATTGTCCGCGACTTCTCAAGTCCCACACCCGAATTTCTGCTGAGTCTGTTGGGACGGTAATTTCCCGAGAACGGCAAAAATATGGCAGGGTTACCAAATGGATGGGTAATTTATACTGAATTTTTCTCTCCGTGTAGGTTGGGAGATATCATTGTTCATACACCGGTCGTTGAGTTACCTCGGAACCCGAGTAAGACGTAGCGATGCGTTGGCTTTAAAGCCAACACATGTTGATACAATAAAAAATAGTGGACACCCAAAGAGATGAATGACTTCAAATAATGCTGAAGTGATCCCACAGTTGTCAGCATTAAACACAAACCCCTCACCTCATCACCTTCTATCACTGAGTACCCGCAAGGAGTGGTATATCTTTGCTCCTACAACTCTTTGAATTTCTCGCTATATCTCTCTATATGAGAAAAAAATGTGGGAGGAAAATGTTGCTGCAGAATGGCTCAATCTCCGTTGGCGGATGGCTCAAGGTCAGCCCGACTATCCCTCAGCCATGCATGGGTTAACCTTCAACCAACCGTAAGCCGTGATATAATTTGTGTCACTGGACGTGTGAACAATTATAGCCGGGGGAGGGGGGGTTATGTATTTAACGGTTTATTTATTATTTTCACATTTACCTGGGTACACGACTACTGGCTGATTCATTCTTTTAAATGGTATGGGAATGGGAGGCACCCCAGTGAACCAAAGAAATTAAAATCTCTCTAATGAATTATTTGCGGTAGGGATACACATTTTCCAGTTCTCTTCTAAATATTGAATACTGTATAATTTAAATATTTAACCCATAGGACCATACCGGAAGCTACAAAATGATCGGGTATTTCCCCATATATAATAGTGTTAAGTGCTTGCAAGTTGAATACATGGAGGACTTACGCGACGGATTTTCTCGCAGAACTTGATATATAGTTACGCAAATTTCAGATATGTACAGTTATGTATTGTCCATGGGGAACTACCTCCTCTTATAAGAATAAAATTGATTATAAAGTAGTATTAAATAGGGGGTTAGGTTTAGAGATTCATTTGGTTATGGCTCAGAATAGAGTTAGA